TTTCAACAAAACCATTATACCCTGATTTCCCATTTTCAATGGGTTCAAGGTATAATAAGTGCAGTGCGTGATGTCATCAGTCGACCAGTCGACAAAATAGGGATTAACGACAAGTGAATACCCTCTAACCTAGATGACGACTATAAATTGAATTCCAATCCTGTAATTCACAACACGTGGAAAACTCTATCGGCTATCGCAGTGCAGAGAAGTTGGCAGAATTCTTATCAGCAATCAACTTTGCTTTTTTTTGTTCATCTCCTGGAAAGTAGGTTAAGTGCGAGGAGAAGTTTTGTATGTCGACCAAAATTGAGAAATGAGTATACGGTAAATGGCAGAGAATCGTATCTAGATAAATATCTTATTTTAGAAACTCGATATTTATAGTATTATATTATGCATACGACACAAACAGAAAGAGGGAGGCAGAGAGAGTGAAAGAGAGAGAGAGAGAGAGAGAGAGAGAGAGAGAGAGAGTGAAATGGGAGAAAAGATTACACCTGCAGCGCGCGCACGTGCCGAATCTGCTAATGAATTGGCCACAAGAAGCGAGAAACAAAGCAACGGCTATGAGGTGTTAATCAGCGGCGACGGCAGCGAAAAAAGGCGCCAAAATATGTTTAGCGCTCGCTGAGAAAGAATATAAGGCGCCAAAATACACCGGCAAACGTGCGCGCGTATCTAGATAAGTATCTATGACAACATATTCGTACATAGGTACATATGTATGTATGTTTGTACATGCGTACACAGCCATACGTTTCGAACGCCAATGCGTGTGTATGCCTTTGTATCTGTGTGCAAATACACTTGAAGCGTGCTTGCTACTGTACATACGCGGAGTCGACAGCGAACGTTAACTGCGCTGCGAGAGTCGTAGGCCTACATACGTATGTTTGTATGTATGCATGTATGTATACGCACACTGCTGCGCGATACTCGGGAAGGCAACGACCAACAGCAGCAGCAAGAACAACAACAATGAAGAACCTCCACAGCGGGCAAACGACGAAGAGCCGCAAAACAATCGTAAACAGATCATCGAACTCCCTTCACGAAAGCGAGAGAGTTGCTGTTGTTTTTATTGCTGCACAGCTTCTGCTGCTGCTGCTGCTGTTGCTGTTGCTGTTGGATGCTATTGGCCTTGAAATGTGTGCGCTTTTATACATTGTACACACATACACATGCGCATGTGTGTTTGTTCACTATTTAATTTTCAATAATTAAAAGTGGCTTTATTTTGCTATTAATTGAGTTGGCAACGCGTGCGGCGCCCACGCAAAACAGCAGAACATAAGTAGCGGGTACAGCAACGAGTGCTGCAGCGCCGCAGCGGCCAGAAACTTCATAGCGACAATAAAAAACAGCTTTCACCGTGCCTTAGCTTGCGTCATACTTGATACGATGCGTGCGCGACAAAGCTACAAAACACGAAGTCGCTGCATCGGCATGTTGCTGCAGCGACGGCTTTGCTACTCAACACACACGCGTTGAGGGCAACAAACCACCACCAGCCGAAGTAGCAGCAGCAGCAGCGGCTTCGGCAGCGACAGAGTCAGCAGCAGCAGCAGCAGCAACAGCGACAGCAACAGCACACCAACAGAAGCAGCGACGCAACAGCACAGCGTAGCGCAGCAACAGCAGCCAACCAACCAGCGGCAGCGACAAATCGACAATCGGCCTCGGCTTCGGGTTTTTGTAGCTTTGTGGCGTCAGTTGCTTATTGACGGCGAACGTGCTCAGTTGTGTTAACGGTAAAACGTATGTTGGTCGCTGTTGCTTGTTGTTGCTTAACTGGAATTTCTTGATCGTTCGTTCGTGTGGGTGTGTTTATGTGTGAGTTGCACTTGTAGCGGTGCTGCTGCTGCTATTGCCATTGCTGCTTACTGCGACTGGGAACCGCTGCTGCTGCAGCTGCCGCTGCCGCTGCTAATGCTGCTGCTGCTGCTTACGTGCTCATGTGAACGTCGACGTTTTCTAATCTGATGATTATCGATTGATGATAGCAGCAGCAGCAGATAAGCAGCCGCTGCAGCGGCACCAATACAAACACATACGCGTACATACCGATCCCGCGACCGAATAGCGACAGCGACGCCGCCGCGCAGCCGCAGTCGACGCCGCGTTCTGCTACCCGATTTCGAGTTATTTTCTATGCGACTTTGTTGCGTTTTTCTCAGTTCGCTTTTGGAGCTGCCAGTATACGCTCACAAACCGCTCCGTGTTGTTGACGTTTCGTTTTTTTGCGGGAATATACAGATTTCGTACTAACATCCAAGTTAAAAGAACTCAAACGCCTGTGAGAAAAAATATTAATAATTATGATTAAATAAAAACCATTAGCTGTGCCTAACCCGTGTGCAAAAATTAATGCAAATTTATACAAATTCAAATTACAATACAAACTCAATAAAAATTAAACGAGGCCAAAACATTATAAAATTTTTAAATTAATCTGCAAGAAACAAATTTGATACCCCTATAAAAAGAACGAAATTATAGTAAATTTAATTTGAATAACAAAAAATATTTCAATCTATTCTTAAGTAAATGGTTGCAAAGGCTTTCCAAATTTTGAATTGAAAATGTTTTGAAATGGTACAAAACCGAAATTGATAATGAATTTCGCACTGACAGGAAACTACAAAATTCAGCTTTAAAAACACAAAAGCACCAAAAGCAGTGCCAAGGCATAAAAAAAATATTCCCCCAGATCCGAATATAAAAAAAGTGTTTTTGAAGATTTTATGTGGAAGAGGAAATGATGCAAGAAGCAGCAGAAGACGAATTCCAAAGTATGCTACCTGGTTTTTGCCATCAGCGAGGTATAGAGTTCCTACGTTCAATTTAAATACTCGTAGGAACTTCATACCGTGCTCTTGGAAGACCAAAAAACAACTGAAACTAAAAGGAACGCAAGGCGCAAGGGCAGCCGCAAAAAAATATGGCGACTTAAAACGCGCGAGAAACGCTAGCGACTTTTGCGAACAGCATTCTGTGAAACAGCGACAGCGAAATGAAGTAAAAATTCGATTTGAAGCGCATGTAGAAGGACCCACGATTGTGAAACTACAAACCGTTGTCCTAGGAAAGGAAAAAAGAAAAAGTTATAAACAATAAGAGTTAATAATAAATGAATAAAGCACATCGTCTGGAAATGAATGCACGAATAACGCTAGCGACATTTGCACCCAGAAATCTGGAAAAATCATGGAAGAAATTTTACCAAAACGATGGAAAAACACTGCAAAAGCTACGCCAGAGAGAAACATGTGAGAGTGCGTTTTAAAACGCATGCATAACGCTAGCGAATTCCGCATGCAGAAATCTGTCTACGTGCGCGGCACCAAATATCCAGAGAAATAGCTGGCAAATCATAAAATTACGTGATTCGTGCTAGCTAGCCAACCAGCCGGCCAGCTAGGCCGCATAACAAGTCCTAAACGACCATACAAAATCTCCAAATCGTGCACACACGAAAAATTATTGAAATGTTGAGAGCCTTGGGTCTAGCCAGGAATTTGAGCTGAAATATGTTGGACCAAGAAGTTAGAAAGAAATAAAATCTGTGAATAAATGTTTGTAAATCCTAAACCTAGAAAGAAAACAGAAAAAACAGGTGCAGTGCTGCCTAATTCGCTCAAAATATGTAAGCAAAAATGGCTACCAAAGGGAATTAGAGAATTAGACAGAGACAGGGAGAGAGCGAGGAATCGAAGCGAGAATTGTTAGATGACAAACTGCGACGAACCTAACTAAAATAATGATATGACAGAGAAAGAAAATCTATGTGTGTAAATAAATATACAAACGACAGACCTAAGTAATAGATTTTGGTTATTATTATATGTATTTGTGCTTCAAATATGAAATTCGAAAATTATAGACTTGATATAGGTTTTATTTTACAAAACTATTTGCAAAGAGAACTCAGTGTGAAGGCAACTGAAAATAAAAACGTAGATTCGATTTTGACTTAAGCCAACACAAGTTGTAAATACATGAAAATATTTAATAGGATATTTTTTTATTGACTATCAAATTGTCCAATTACATTTCATGCAAGTCAAAGAAATAGGTGTGAGATATTAATGGAGTCAAATATGAGCAGCAAAGTTTCGAGAACTAGAAATATAGTTGATATCATACATAGAGAAAGAAGTATATATAGAAATAGAAATATATTAAGATACGAAAACAAAAAAATGTATACGTATTAATAGAAAAGGCAGTAAATACGAATAGAGTTCAATACGAACTACAAAATATACTAGATATATATAATGATTCAGTACATAAATATACATATAATATAAGTCAAATGAGGATTCCATCTAAAAATTTGATTTTGTTTAAAAGCGATATGACAACGTTTACGCTAGATATTCAATTCTCAATTCCCAGCGAACGACTCGATTGTTGCTGTTGTTCTTTTTATTGCTGTCGAAAAAGCAAAAGACCTTCGAGCGTTGCAGTGTCAAAAACCTTTTGACTAAACGGCGTCAGGCAGCTTGACAAAGTAAGACGGAAAACAAAAACAAAAAAAAAATAAATAAAAAACAAAATAAAATGGCAGAAAATAATAAAAATAAATTGTAGCATATGAGAAAAATGCTACAAAAATTGCCGCCGAACTGGTAAGACTTTCGAAAAGCGCAACGCGCCAAAGCCCAAGCGCCCAAGTCCATGTCGACTTAATGGACCAGCAATAAAACAGCAAAAGCTGAAGGCAGCAGCAGCAGCAGCAACATTGCCAGCAACATCGGCAACATCATCATCAACTGCCAGCAAAAATTACACACGCACATTTCGCAGCTTTTGGGCTGTTCAGTAAGAGAGAGAGAGAAAATAAGGAAAACATAAGCAAAAGCAAGAGATATGCATTTTATAGATACGCCTTAACTTGGGAGCTGGGCAGCTGCTGCTGCTGTTGTTGCTGGGCTGTTGCTCATGCTGCTGCTGATATGAGCAAGCAAAATGCATACAACTATATATTTACCGATAAGCGCGAAAATACATATATACAGAGATACACTTTATCTATACCCACTTTATCGTAAGCAATGTGGAATGAAGCAACGGCGAATGCGAATTGAAAGGGAATGGGAACGGGAATAGGCTGGGAATGGCAATGAGAATGTTCTCATTGAGAATCGGTTTCCGAAAATGTTGGCTCCTGCAATTTTCACAGCAACTGCAACTGCAACAGCGAATGGCAAAAATAATAACAATTTCAGTTCGTTTTTTTAGTGTCTTTTTTTTTTGCTCTGCTGTCAGTTGGAGCAACTGGAACTGGACAGCCCAGCTTGGACTTGAGGCATTGTATTTTGTTGTCCATTTCAACGCTTGAAATTCTTGTGGCTGCTGCTGTTGGCGTTGCCTCCTGTTTCTGCTGTTGCTGTAGCTGCAGCAGTTAATTTAATTTCAGCTCATAAATCAAAACTGTGCCGCGCAAAATGTTTGCTTTTGACGCGGCGTTTTTGTCGCCTGGTCGAGACAATTTTTCAGTCGGAGCAATTTTTGGTTTTTTATTTCTTATATTTTTTGGGTGGCAGGGGTTGTTGGAGGCACGCAGGCAGCCGGAACTGAATACTGAACACTGAAACTGGGGCTGCGACTGCTAAGTTAGTCAACTTTACAGCCGGTTGACGTTTGACAAACAATGGCAAAGACAACAGCAGCAGCAGCAACAACAACAACTCTAGCAGCAGCAGCAACAGCTTAACTTGGTCAGCTGGCAAACACAAATTGCAAGCAGCTGCAATTCTTAAGCAAAGAGGAAAACGTGAGTGTGAGAGTGACAGAGAGAGGGAGAGACAGGGAGGTGGGGATGAAAGCACAGAGACTTAAGAGAGTTTGTTGCTAATAATACTTATTAATATAGACTCAAACTGCTAACAGATATCTTGGAATAAGATGAATGAAACAAGAAAAAGATTATGAGAAAGAGAAACAGTAAGAAAATATCCCATGAGAGGTAATACTATTGCTCTTTCTTGCTCAAGCATGAATGAAATGAGAATCCATTTTTTGGCTTATATATTTTGAGAATATATATTCTATTGAGGAGCTAGCTAGTAAAAGAGTTTTAGGATCTCAAATACAAATTTTTAAATTGTATTTAAATATATTTTACTGATTTTACATTATTATATTTTACAAAATGTAACAATGTTAGTTCATATAAGACAAAAGAGATAAATATACAGATTATACAGCTGCAAGATATACATAGATTCTTCTTAGCTGTAGGCTCTGCTCCTCGCATGGTCTTCCGCAGGATATCTATTGAGAAGAGTAAGTCGAATGGAAATAATCAAAATACGGAAATAAATATATTTAGCTACAAATTTGAGTCAACGGTTACTGACTGACTGAATTGAGGCCAATGAAGGGACTGAGATAGAGCAACGCAGTTCCAATTAGAATAAGTTTGTTGACTACAATAAGCTCTAGCTGCTATTTTCCTCTCACTTAGCCAATTGTAAAGTATCTAATGAGTAGCAGACGCATTTTTCAAAATTAATTGAATGGCAACAACAATTGATCTGGCTGCTTTGCCCAGCCCACATGTGGCTCAGGCCCAGACCCAGACCCAGAGTCAGGCAGAGACCGAGGCCCAGCCCAGTTCATCGTCAGCAAAAGGCTTGAAGCTCACTCGAGAGCGTGACAGTAAATAGTAAACTAAATGACAACTACTGGTATAGATAGCACACACACACACATTACAGAGTATGGCTGATATATGTATGTATGTATTTGTTGGGTGTGTTCGGATGCCTAAATGTTAGCCCTACAAGCGCATTGGGGCGCCAGCATTCACAATTGATAGCTGGGACTCGATACTTGAGCAGCTCGTTAAATGTTAATCACTGACACGACCAAAATGCTGACTAAGAAGACAGTGGACAGTGGAGCGTCACTTGAGCGACCGATGCAGCCGAAGACGGAGACGAGAGCAAAGGCGATAGATATCGACAAACTCCTACAAAGCACAACGGAGCATATAGAGTGATAGTCTTTCAATTTTATTTATTTTTTATATTTCTTATTTTATTTATTTATATTATATTAGTTTTGAATAAAGATACGATTATCATTAAAGAGTCAACTCAACTTGTTTCATATTTCTACATAAACTATAATAGATTCTAAACCAACAAAAAAGACACCCTAATATCTCTCAAGCATGTTCCGAAGATATACGACTCTACTATTCCAAGCACAGTTACATTGCGCTGAGTTGAGTTCAGTCGAGTTGAGTTCAGTCCAGTTGAGTTGAATTTAATACCCGTTCCCATTCTCGAGCCCAGCCCAGTATTAGCGCAAATGCTGACCCATATCAGCACAAAATATGCTAATTACCCATGGGGTCCAGTTGGTTGGGTTGGTTTACTGCACAGTCAGTCCGTCAGCTAGTCAGTTGGTCAGTTAGTCAGTTAGTCAGTGACAAACGGTGTCGACGGTCAAGGCTGTGCTGAACAGTTCTACAAAGCCAGGCCGACACTCGAAGCACACTAACTCATGCACAGTGGGACGTGTATACTCGAGTATGGCTTACAATAAATCAGCCACGTGCACCTGAGTGATTCAAGCTAAGAGAGTCTAAGGCTGAATCCAATTCCGAGTGCCAGTCGTGCTGCTCCCACCGAGATTTCAAGTAATTATAGCTGACGTCAGACACGGCAATTATATACAAGAATCAATTTTCAATAAACTGAACACATATCTACTTACAATTATCATATACTAGATGCCAGCTAGCTGATGGATTCGCTGTAAGTCGAGAGCCCCTGGGGGCACATGGCACATGGCCGCATGTCACCTGGGCAGTTGACTCAGAGCTTATCTAACGTAGCTCCGACTGTAGTGAGAGGCAAAAGAGAGTTGAAGACGCCTACGTCTTGGCCAGTGCGCTGGCGGTTAGCTCATTTGTAAAACACACATTAGAGTGTATTTATTTTGAAATCTGCGCCGAGATACATTTGTATCTTGTGTCTCACATGTGACTTGTGCTATTTCACTGTCGGATTTGGCCAGCCAACGCTGCACATTGTTTGGCATCGTCGACCTAAGCCGATTTTCAGCTACATATGCGAACTAAAGCGGAGTATTGCTTGTCCCAACAGCAACAACAACAACAACAATAGCAACAACAACAGTCAATCTTTACATATATTGCCTAACGGTCTGCGTTTACATCTACGTCAACGTCGACGTCGGTGTCGTTGTCGCTGTCGCTGTCGACGTCTGCGTTAGCGGCGACATAAGCTTTGATGGATTTTGACATAAATATGAGCTGGAATTTAGTGCCAAGTTTGGCGCACGCAGAGCTTATCAAGCGAGCCCCATATATAGTCGATCGATCCGATCGCTCGATTGGCAGCCAAACTGTCGATCGCTTGGCAGGCCACAAAATAAAAGCAGATACCCACAAACTGGGCTGAGTCTGCCTCCGTCTCTGACTGGGTCTGACTCTGAGTCGGCTCACAATTTATGCTAATCCGTGCGCCATAATTTGTGTTGTTGTGCTGGGCTGGCTGGAAGAATATGTTTGTTTCTCTCTTTAGTTTTTTCATTCTGTCTGATTTCGATTTCTTTCTTTCTGCTAAGTTTTCAGCGGGCAAAGCGCGTGTTGCGCATTTCCAAGCAGTCATCGGTCCATTTGGGTAAAATGATTAATTTACATAAATATTTTTATGATTTGCCAAGACAACTACAATATATGGACAAAGAAGAAGAACAGAGCAAAAAGCTGATAGCTGGCCAGCTGCCAGTCTTATGCAATAAGCTAACAACAGTTTTGGGCCCCTTTTCACCACGTGCCTCTGCCTCTGCCTCTGCCTCAGCCTCTGCCTCTGGCTCTGCCTCTGCCTCTGCCTCTGCCTCTGCCTCTGCCTCTGCCTCTGCCTCTGTCTCTGCCTCTGCCTCTCTCGCTGCCAGGCCACGAAAGGGAACTAGTTCAAACAACTGTAAACGCAATTGACCAAACGCTCAACTCGGTGTCATCAACCTTTCAAAAGCGTCCTTTGTCTTTAGCTGGCAACAGATGACAGCAGCAGCTCACAGGACGTGCGCCACATGTGACTCCGAGGCTCTTCCTCTTCCTTTGCCACTGCGCCTGCCGCGTGCCTGTGCAGGTGCCAATGAACCCGGCCAGAACCAACGGGCAGGCAACAGCCCATAACCAGGAAACAAACTTCCAAGTAGCGAGTCCAACAGGTGTGCGACGCTGTTTCTGGTTCTATTACATTGATCTCGAACAGCCCATTATTTATCCATAGACGCACTTTAACCAGGCGCCAACGATGATTTCATTAGCATGAAAATTTATCGCATTCGCTGAGTGCATTTCCAGCCAGCTATGAACACGTTTCGTCGCTCCAAAAGTATCTAAAATGAAACATGTGAAAACACATGTTCATATCTAATAACCATTCAGATATATTAAAATAGAAACAAAATTCTATTATATGTATATTAAAGTGTTCAATAAATATATGTATGTATTTATTTATACAAATATTCAAATGAAAAACATAATATTATTATAGTAAACTTAATGTTAAAACAACTATAAATATACAAATACATATGTGGCAAGTTCTTGTATAATTTCATTCGTGTCACGATCTGGAAACACGACAAACGCTCATCGCTGTTTGGTGGACACCTTCTTAACCCACTCGCCGTCAGGTGTGCGCATCTGTGTGTGTGTGCGTGTGTGTATAGTGCAATTGCACTATAAATGTTGTGATTGCTTATCTGCATAATAAAGTAAATATTGAATATTTATAAATGTTTTGCCATAGACAACGGGCGGGCGGGGCAGGGGCCTAGGAAAGATTTGAAATATTTATTGCCTACAGCAAATATGCTTTGCTATCAAATAGAGATCTCGAGCTATTTGGCTAGCTCGACTTCAAGCCGAGGCTCTCTATATACATATATACCAAAATATTTAGAATATATTTACAATACAATATATTTAGAAAATATGACATAATCAGCTTTGCGATGTTATTCCCGTCAAACAATGCACTAAGCCGTGATGAATGTGACAACTATAGAATACGAGTATTGGAATTTATTTTGGGTTTATCAATTTCAATTTCAATTGTTATAAATAAATATGGAAAAAATGGAAATGTATGCGTGTCATGAGTTTGTCTATTTCAAAAGCTGTTCTTATTAACCGCTGATTGCTCAAATGAATTTTAGTTCTTTGCTGCGTTGGGGACTTGGCGACTTGGCCCGGGGGACCTGGCCGTTAGGCCCCACCCTGGCAGCGAGAAGCCCCGCCCAATGCAGGCTGAGTGCTTCTTCTTGATTTTGTTTTTGCTTATGCTGTGCTGCCAGTTAATCTTCAGTTACTCAACCCTCTTTATGCAAATGCGGCTTTCAAGTAATTTAGAAAAAATACGAGTGAAAAAATATACAGAAGAACAACAAAAACCGCCACAGCAAGTCAAGGCGGTATAAATTTATATATATGCGAACAAGTATATACATATATACATACATATATATTTATAAGTTCATATGTGAGACTTGTAGATAAATTTGCATATTTCAGTCGTTCATAATCCAAGTCTTTCCTTAAGTTGAAGTCTGTCTCCCTCTCTCCCTCTCAGTCTATCGACTGGAGCTGGGACCGGGACTACTGCGGGTTAACAGCTAGCCCAACAACAACAACAACAACGGCAACCCGCGTCACTTGCGAGGCGTCGATCCATTTGAAATGCCACACCTAACTACAATTTGTAGTTCTTTTTTTTTTTCGTCTCCTCCATCAAGTTTTATTTTTATTT